GGAGGGGGAGGGGCCAGGGAATCAGGGGGTGGGGTCTGTGTGTGCGAGTGTGAGTGACACGTGTGTGTGTCTGTGTGTGTGTGTGCGTGTCTGTGTGTGTGTGTGCGTGCGTGTGCGTGACACGTGTGTGTGTCTGTGTGTGTGCGTGTGTGTGTGAATGTGCGTGTGTGTGAGTGTGCATGACACGTGTGTCTGTGTGTGTGTGTGTGCGTGTCTGTGTGTGTGCGTGCGTGTGCGTGACACGTGTGTGTGTCTGTGTGTGTGTGCGTGTGTGTGTGAATGTGCGTGTGTGTGAGTGTGCATGACACGTGTGTCTGTGTGTGTAGCCACTATAGATTACATCATGTGGGCCAAATTAGAATTTATGAATTAAACGGTTTATTGCAAATTAAGGAATACTAAGCAAGTGAGGGTAAAGTAAACAATTTTGAGAGAAAGTGGAAAATGGAATTGGAGGGCGAGTGTTCCAGTTTGCACCAATACACTCCAGTGGAGGTAACACCCAGCAGGAGGGAACGTGTAGGTCGAAAGCACGTGCACCGGGTAGAATGGGAACTTGTTACGCCCGACACGGTTTCCCCCCTCAGGGCTGACACTGTGCGGGTAGGTTTAGGTGATTTACACAGGGAAAATAAAGCGAGAGAAGATCAGACTTGTCCTTGGGCTTGCGAGCCCCCGGGAACAAGGGTGACTTGAGAGCACAGTCCTGGCCGCGCCAGCCCGGCGAGCTGCACTGGGACAGGAGCCGCACGAGCGAGCTCGGCGGCAGCCGAGCAGGGCTTTGCTGCCAGCAGCTGTGACACCTCTTCTGGGAGCTTTGGGCCAGAGCTGGGCACTGAGCTCGCAGCTGCCTTGGCTCTGCTTGGTCCTGTGCTCAGAAGAGTGACCTGAGCTCAGCTGTGATTCCCCATGAGCCTCGACCCGTGGCCGTGCCTTTTGGTGCCGCCTCTGGGAGAGCTGCTTTCCTTTGCTTCTTCACCTGCAGCTGCCCTGTCCCTTTCACGTGTCTTCTCCACAACTGTCTGCCCCACACCCTGAAAACAAACTAACCTGCACCACTGCAGTCCTTCACTTACGCTTCTTTTAAAGGTTGACTTCAGTCCCTGACTGGTGTGCGGTTCTTGATCCTTCGCTAGCGCAAGGGTCAGACCAGGCAGTGTAGTCGCAAGCAGCCAATGGGATGTAGGCAACTTTAGTTTGCAACGATGTTGCTCTTTCCCACCTTTACATCTGCCCATCAGGAGGCTTCTTTGCCCTTGAGCTGTGTGCCCTCTGTGCCTCGCTTCACTTGATTGCCGAGTCACTTTTATTCAGGAGGCACGTGCTCCACAACAGCTTCACAAGTGGCCTGGGTGTTGGGATCAAGGGCACCCTGATGAAGTTTGCTGACAACACCAAGATGAGTTGAGAGGTTGACACTCCAGAAGGGAGAGTCACCCTCCAGGATGACCTAGGCAGGCAGCAGGAGTGGGCTAGCAGGAACCTTATGAAGTTCAACAGGGAGAAGTGCAAGGTCTTGCACCTGGAACACATAAACCAGGAGCACAGTTCAGACTGGGATCCACCTGGCTGGAGAGCAGCCCTGTGGAAAGGGAGCTGGGGTCTTGGTGGATAACAGGTTCAAATGAGTGAGCAGTGAGCTGCAGCAGCAAAGAAAGCCAACAGGATGATGGGCTGCATCAACAAGGACATCATCAGCAGAGATAGAGAAGTCATCATCCCGCTCTACTTGGTGCTTGTCAGACCATGCCCAGAGTGTTGTGTTCAGTTTTGGTCCCTGCTCTACAAAAAGGATGGGACAGGCTGGAGAGGGTCCACAGAAGGGCCAGAAGGATGATCAGAGGACTGGAGGACTTGCTCTATGAGGAGAGGCTGAGAAAACTGGGTTTCTTGAGAAAAGAAGGCTTTGGGGCAACCTTATTATCATGTTCCAGCACTTAAAGTGTGGCTACCAAGAAGTGGAGACTCTCTGTTTAAAAGGAGCCACGTGGAAAAGAAAAGGGGTAGTGGGCACAAGTTGCTCCTGGTGAGATTCTGATTGGACACGAGAGGTAAATTTTTCACCATGAGGACAATCAAACATGGGAATAGTCTCCCAAGGGAAGTGGTAGATTCCCCATGTTGGACAGTTTTCAGCCTCAGCTTCACAGGGTGCTGAGCCACCTCTTTTACGCTATAGCAGTACCTGGAAAGGTCGGACCAGATGATCCTCGAGGCCCCTTCCCGCCTGCCATGCTGTGACTCAAAGAACACAAGTGTTCCTTCCCTCCCTCCCTCGCTCCCCGCTGTCCCC